AAAAAAAAAAAAAAAAAAAAAAAAAAAAAAAAAAAAAAAAAAAAAAACAAGGGGTCAAAACCTTTACACTTCAGAAAAAAAACATAATCATTTCCAAAATATAATTTTTTTATTAAAAAAATATGTGAATTTATATCTCCAAATTAATAATTGTTTCCACCTAAATTCAGAATTTCGTTGTAAATTCGCAAAGAATAATGTAAATTAAATCTAGTAACGGTTCTTTATTTATTCATGTTCTACTTTTAGATGATTTTAAATAGAATCAAAACGAAAATATTCAGCTACAATTACTTTTATACCCATCAAAATTAAAAACGTCTAAAGTGTTTCAAAGCCGAAAAACTAACTTTCAATCACATTAACTCGATTACATATGAACCCTCACATCTAATTTGACATATTAAAAATAATAATATAAAGAAAAATTGAAATAAGCCTTCCCATAAATATTGAACATGTTGATTTAGTTCTTAAATTATAAAAAGTGCAATTTAGTTCCTGAATAAAGTTTTAATCGATATCCATATTTAAACCAAATATATATATCTATATATTCATATGTTTCAGGTTTTGGGTTTCCTATGTTCATCTCCATTACTTTTGTTCCTTTTGGTTATTTGTTTTGTTTTCCCAGAGATGAGAGAAACAGTAGGAAGAACAGCAGCTACATTGTTGAGCAAAGAAGACAAAAGAAAAGGAAAGTTAGGAAGAAGAAGAAATACATGTTATTCCAAATGAGACTCCTTTTGAACCTGACCTGATGCTGTCTTAAACCAGAGCCAAAAGAAGCTGCAGTTCCACATCAATCTGGTAACAAAAACAATGTCTCCCCACATCAAACTAACCACAAACACATGTTTTATTACACTGGGAAACTTCCCGTCATGCTAATATGGTCCAGTGTCCGACGCAACCCATATTTATTCACAGCTGCATTAGCAGCTCTGAAACCTTCCCCATAAGCTGTCGAGGCATCGTTCGCTATTTGGTGCATGAAAAATTCACCCAGTTTGTTTTCGGCCGAAGATTTACCGCCTTTCTTTGATGATGAAGAGTAGTAGGACGAGGAAGAAGAAGAAGATGAGGACGCAGTGGATGTCGAAGGTCCCGATTTAGACCCCGGCATTACTTCGGATTCAAGCCACATGTAGGAAAGCACTTGACAGATACCTTCTTCTACCTCCGGGTTAAGGTTGCGATATCCTACCATAATCTCAAGTAGTATCAGTTTTCGAGGTAAGCACACGGATCAAGATCCGAAAAAAGTGGAAAGGGAAGAAGATGGAGCTTTACCTTTTAGCCGTAACCAGCCGTGCATCAGCTCATGAGCAAGAATAGCCCCTGTTAGTAATCTGTGAAAGCTAAGAGTATAAATATGGTGGCCAATGTAAACTCGACAGAAGATTGTGTTACAGAAGAGCGAGATATGCTCGAGTATTAGAAAACATAATGATTTAACCGTTGATCTTCTTAGAAAGCTCAAACACCATGAAGTTTAAAAGTAGTTCCAACTTCCATTTGTTTCCATTTTAGACATAATCATACAAAGCTTAGAATCTTCAATAAATTTGAAAGTATAAAATCAAGAATGCCTACCTTGGAAGACCATAAAGAACAAGAATGGCTGTAACTTCGCATCTACGAGTCAGCTTCTGCAGTTGAGTTCTCATTCCGATGAGTCGATGCCCTCCGATTCTTGGCCTCTTGAGGATCTGAACATGATTAACGAGAACAAGTTCAATACCTATAAAAACCCTGATCGCTACTCTACAATTTTGGAAAAAAAAATCCGACATGTACTCTATGAAAACGTACACTGGTGACAGTCTGCTCTTCAGAAAGACATAAACCTCGAGTCTCAGGCATGTGATGGAAGCCCTGTAAAGAAAAGGTGCTGATCAGAGGAATTTCTACACGGGTCAGAAGAAGGCGTAAAAGATAGTTTATTACATGCTTCTCCCCAACAATAGCTTCATTGAGTGCCTGTCTTTCAACCAGAAGCATGGGAATTTGCTGATCTATTCTCATGTTCATCCCTTCGTAATAGTCTCGAATGGAGTGGTAGAGTGGTTGGCAGTCTCCGGTGTCCATGATAGCAGACTCCATGCATTCTAGGCATAGGCTCCGTCCATCTCCCAAAGAAATGTATCTTGCATTCCAAGACTGTAAAACCATGTGGAATTGTAGTTAGCAGTAAAGGGAGAAGCCTCAACCTCATGCAAGCTCAATTGTTTTCATTGATACCTCCAAACGTTCACAGCTACAACAACGGGCTGTGTTGTCATGTTCATGGGATGGACAATACTTCTGAGACCAAAAAGGATGACATCTATACTCGATCAAACCGGCTCGATTTGTAGGGATCTGAAAGTTGAGAATGGAAGAATCAAATTCTTCATACTAGCTAATGAGAGATACCAATGAGGTCTAACAAATGTGTTTATGTTCCTCACAATCCACCAGTAACATAACATGATAATAGGAAGTAATGTCCGATGAAGACAACAATGAAATTCTTACAAATTGGTGGCAGACTTCACACTTTGGATGGGTCAGCTCTTTGAAACAAGACTTGTGATATGGATCTTTCCCAGACAACGAAAACTTGAATCCACAGAAAAGAGAACTTGAATGAGTAGGCAAAGGAAACAGAGTGGGAAGCATGACTAGGAGAAGAAAAGTCACAGCTAGGATCTTGTGACCAAAGGAAGGATAGGATTATTAGAATACCTCATGCTCGGTAATAGGATAACCGCAAGAACGACAACAAAAGCACCCAGGATGGAAGTAGGTGCCCATGCATCCCAAATAATTGCCATAGCTGATTGCACGCTTGCAGCCACCACAATATCTACG